TATTTTGCACAATCTCATAGTATAAGTTATCCAATGCTCTTTAAAAAATAGTTTGTAGTTAAATTTGTACCTTTACTCTTTTCCTTTTAAAGAAGAATTTAAGAAATCTTTCCTTAATTGCCATGATATCATTAAATTAAATTAGGGAAAAGACAAGGATTAATTACAAATTCATTTTAATCTAAACTCCAAACTTTTCAATTTTAAATATAATTATTAAGATTAACTAACTTTATTAAACTAAAGTTTTAGGAAAAAATTGCTCCAAACAAAAGTTTAAGATATTGGGTGCTCTTAGAGAAAAAACTCCTTAGCATTTTTGCTCTTTAACCCTAATTTTAAAGAAAAATAACTAGTGTAATTTAGTTAAAATTATTTTATAATACTAAATGATAAAAAGGAGTAATAGTTTTCAACACACATTTTCCTTACAAATTTGGACCTTTATTTTCTTTTTCCATTTCATGTTTCAACTTTCAAACAAGGGCAAAGGTATAAAAATGTTCAAAAAATATTTTTCCAAAAACACCTGATATTTGTAAGTGAATAAAAGTATAGCAATACCCATAAACTAGCTTTAAAGGGTGCATTTGTCTCCAATCCATTAAAGATAATTGACGTCCATTAAATTTTTATTTTAAGCTGCACAATCCATACCAAGTGGTGGACACATCACTACCTCTTTCTGCCCTCGCTCTCCACTCACTACATGGGAGCCCCTGTAAAATCTCCTTCCACTAAACACATTTAACATTAAAACTCATGGTAATCAAAAGATTAATACATAAAAATAATTATCAAGCTTTGTCAAAATTCAAGGGATCTCAAGTTTTCTAAATATCAATGAGTTCAAAATAATCAAAACCTTTATATCAAAGTAAAATAAGTTTTGAAAGCATGAGATATATTATAGGAAGAATTCAAAGATGGCTAAAAAACAAAACATATGCTGTGATATAGGGCAATGCGATGTGGCTCGTGCATGTTGCGCCGCAGCGTGTTGCTCTCTATGCCACACGCTGTGGCTCAGGTGCCATGTGTCACAACGTGTTGCACAAAAAATCAGCAGATTCTGTTGTCATTTGACAGCAGAATCGAGGAAGTTTCGACGTGCCTCGATTTTCTGTCCGACATTCGATTGACGTGATCTAGATGTCTATAGAAAGCTCTTAACATGAACTAATTAATGGCATGAGTTTTACTTTCAAAATAAGTCACACTAGGAAGTTGGACATTCAAATACATTTTAATCACTTTTCACAACTTTCACACAAAATAAGTGTCCAAAACCCTCAACAAGTACCAAAAGCTTTTTCTAACACCTAGACTTTATCTATTAAACCTAAGACTACCAATAACACATAACAAGCATTAAAACAATAGTATAACAAAAATTTACTCCTCAACCTCATGTTATCCAAAATAAAGGGGGAGGTAAATTGTGATTACTTTGCATCCAATTCAATCCAAACATGTTCAAATCATCATTTCTATACTTGTACTAGTATTTTGACCTTATAAATATATATATATATATATATATTTCAACATATATAAATACTCAGTGCCTAAAATGCAAATCTAACATTTGTAATAACAAAATAATGCAAGTGCGATAGCATGCATCCTAGAATTGAAAAATCATATACTATTTCACAAATAAATCTAAACTAGAGGCATACAGTAGGAATATGCTAATTCCTAGCCTCCTGAATCTTCTCCCTCTCAATACTAGAGCTAGAGCCTAAAAAGAATTAAATGAACTAAGTGAGTCTAGCCACTCAGTAAAACCTACCCTATATAGTTATATATCAATTAAAAGACAAGCACATGTATAAGAAACTAAGTAAAACATACTCACACATATCATAATTTATCATTTATCATTTAATAACATTCTTGTCTCACAAATACTAGATACATTGTCACCATATTCTCAGATATATGACATGTCCCCTCATTTACATGACTTATGTAACATATTATATATTTACTTAGGCAATGATCAACTAACCTTATCTTCTCCTTATTTCCTCAGACTGAAATCATGGGTTATAACACCGAATAGGGTTCTGTTCGTGTGACTAGACTATCTAAGCTTACTAATCACAAGGTGTGGCCCGGCTAAAAATCACATGACTTACTCAGACCATGACTTTCCCCATTCTCAAATCTCTGAGGTGTCTCATACTTTAGACTATTCTCCTCATTGAATCAGTAGAGATAGCTAGGTTTTAGTTTATCGATAAATTATGGAACAGTCCCTCAACAAATTGTGTGACAAGGCTATACTCCTGTGCACCGGAAGGCAACCTAAATACTATATCGGTTTTCTCTCTACTCTCAATTTCTAGGTGAACTCCCACCACTGATCATTCCATAATCAATACTCACTTATTTTTACATTTTTATTTTCATTTACTCATTATCATCACAATCACATTGGGCTTACGACCATGCACTACCCAAGTGCACATCATTTTTTTATCATTCACTTATAACACTTACACCTATTTTTCAATCACAATTACTTATCTTTATCAAATCAATTACTCACCACTCATTTACAACACATAATCACGTTCATCTTTCTAAAGACATATGCATGTTTATATTCGAAAACATCTTGATTTGACATTTACATTTCCAACCACAATAATATTATGCACATTAAATTTTCATGCACTCATTGGAGCTAACACATACTTTTCACATTGAAATCAACCAATGCATGCCACATTCATAACTAAAAATCAATTTACAATCAATTAACATATAATTACCCAAAATAGAGTTCTCTCAGTTACCTCAAACCTTTGAGAGGTCAAAGATTTACCCCTCAATCTATTAGCTCCCAAGCTTGAATTTTTCAATCCAATAGGTGACCAAAAGCCAAGTACTACAATCAACCAAGTTAAATTTTATCAACATTACCATCTCAAGCATTAAACCCTCAATCTCCACTTCTAAATTGCCCAACATTCATTCCACAAGAATTTAAGCCTATCCTTTCAGTTCATTAATTACCTTTAGTCCCTAATAACATTAATGAACCATTAAATTTATATTAATGGCATTACAATCTTCTAACCACATATAATAAATGAGATTTTTAGATATTAATAGTGCCCAACAACTCAAGACATTAAAAGTTCATTATACTAGGTTTAGATATTCTAATATACTCCCATTAACTTCATTTGAGTTAATAAATTTGGACTCATAACTCATATGGACTGAAAATTCACTTTTACTATCAAACCCTAACTATAAACTCATAAATATGGAAGACATGGGAAGATTAATGAGTGTGATACTTACCTGGAGTATTTGTAGCCTCTAAAATACTCTCAATGTCGTCCACAAGTAAACTCTAGCAAAGCTTGATGCCTCTCTTCCGTTCTCTCTTTTCTTTCTCTCTGTTTTTCGCATCAGTTCATGCATTAATTTTGCAGATTTCACATCGTGCGCCGCGACGTGTGTCATCACACACCGCGGCATGTGGTACAGAGAAAGAAGTTCTCGCCTGATGGCCTGGTGTGCACCACGCACACACTATGGCATGTGGCATAGAGACTGTTTAGTTTGTTTTTCTTTACTTTTTACTTTCCAAATGATCCAATTTTACTTTAAATTTAAATTATATCTAAAATTTTAATAGTGACACTTATTATTCTCCTCTAACCACACACCACATTAACTTATTTAATTATCTTTATTAATATTAATAAATTAAAGAATTAAAAATTGAGATGTTATAGTACGAAACCAAGTGAGGCCAACCACCTATCGTCTACCTCAACCCTCAACTTTCTCGACACTATCTAGCAGTTTGACTCCAATTCTCCCCTCTTCACGCCATCTGGCTGTCTAGCTCCAATGCATCCTTCGCCTGTCCTACGCGGCTTATGTGCTATAGCACCACCAGCCTATCATTTTGAAATCTAGAATGATTACTGTGTGATGATGAAGGAGTTTAAGAGATGTCGGGGGAGATGCTAACAGGGTTCTGAATCAATTCCTTACATAAAATGGACGGAATGTGGGCGAAGAAAACTGTGTTCATCATTAGGGCAACCAATCGACCAGACATCATAGACCTTGCACTTCTGCGCCCTATTCGTCTAGACCGGCTGATTTATATACCCCTCCCAGATGAGGAATCTCGCTATTAGATATGTAAATCGCGCCTTTTAAAATCCCACCTTTCAAAGGATGTTGATCTTAGAGCTCTTGCCAAGTAGAAGGGATGGCGAAGTAAGAAGAAGGAGAAATGGTAGGAGGAGATAGAGGCATTTGCAAAGGAGAAATAGCAGCATCTGCAAGAGGCATTTGCGACGGAGGGAAGCGATGATGAAGATATGGTGAGAGGAGTGAAGGATTTAGAGTGAGACGATAGTTTTGCAAATTTTTTAGTTCACTCTCAACAAAAAATAGTTAAATTGTTTGCTTAGATGTAGCTTAACTATCAACGTCAATTATCTCATGCACTCATTAAAGCTAGTTTATAGCCGCACCTTTCCTTACTTAAAAATCCTCGATGTTTTTTGTTTTTTGGGGGGGGGGGGGGAATTGAGTATTTTTACACCTTTTTCCTTCCAACAAAGGGTGGGAAATGGAACGCTGCTTCTCACTGCCAAGCACCCCTAACCATCTGCACCCAAGTCAATCATTGGACTGAGACTGTAAACAAGTAGAAATGGAACAGTATCTTTGTGCGCCGCAATTGTTTTAACTCCAAGCCTCTAGCCGAATGACATTATTAATTATTATTTATAGCTTCTTGTCATGATTTTCGGGCAATGTTGTGCAGATTCACGCTGCAAAATCCCGGACACATGCAATCTGACATTGTTCCTGCTCCAGTATGGTCTCCCTCTTCCTTCCGGGTCCACACCAACCATCTTGTCTTTTTCTCACATTTTTTCTAAATTATCCAGGTTTCCGCGAGATTCTCTTTCAAATAAACAAGTAATATTTTATCTTTCAAAAACACATATCATTGGGCATTACTGACTCATCGTGATTGAAGTGCTCCGTGGATTGTCCTTGTCTTTTGCAGCGAAATCAAACATGGCTCTTGGAAATTTTCCGACCTTTCCTTCTCTCCCTGCTTCACGAATCCCACCATTGGTCCGGGATTTAGCGAGAGCATGAGATTTTTTCTCAAAAACGACCGAAATTTACTGATAACGTTTCACACTTTCAAGAGCTAACACTGAGCTAGACTAGAGTCAACGTATTGTAACTTCCGCCGAATTTGAGGTTTTTGGCGAGTGGGTTTTTCACGGTTCTCTGTTCTGTGAAGAATGGGTGTGGATAACATTGAAGAGAGCAGTGTCAGATTGTTGGCTAGTAGCAGCGGCGGAAGCACCGGATCTAGGTGGGTTGATGGAAGTGAAGTGGAGTGGGAGTTAACTCCCGGGACGAAGCAAGACGAGAATGAAGGATTGAGTTCAATTAGAAGAAGGATTGTGAAAAGGCCCAAGAGAGTTGACTCGCTTGATGTAGAAGCCATGGAGATATTTGGGAGACACGACCACCACTCCAAGGTAATTTCTTCCTCGTTCTTGATTTTATGACAGATCTTTTGACTATGCATACACCAATGACTAACGAGTAACGAATCAAAACTTATAGACAACATAGGGACTGAAAATGTTGAGCCTGTGTAATTGAGGTGAAAGTCTACATCCAGGACTGGGGTCTTGAAGTAAAGCACCAAGCTTGTTTATTGTTAATTCATTTGTTCGTTACCATTTGTATTGGCAAGGATAATGGGAGATTAAACTTACATTAAAATGGTGTAGTAGAATTATCCTTTCCCATGGCGAAAGGTTAAAAAAGTAGAAGGCGGAAAGGAACCACGAATTGAAATGGCGAGGAAAAGAAGCTAGAACCTCAGAGTTTGGGAGTATTATTGAACACATAACAGTTAAGACGGATAGATGAACGGTTAAATGATGAATATAGTAAAGCACACCAAACTCTCATTACTTTTCATTTAAAATTATCCACGGCTTTCGAAGCAGCTGAAGATTGCGAACTTTATTGTAGTGTACTTAAAACTGTAGTATTGAAATGGTAATCATGGAGAATTTGAATGCGCACTACACTAGCTTTGACAGTGAATCAGTGGTATTAACTTCCTCTTGACCATGTAATGGTGGATACGAAGGCATCTCTCTTGTTTAATCTTTAGTACTTACATGAACCAGGATCCTTCCTTTTGGACCACACTAGCACTAGCATTTCAGACTCTCGGTGTGGTATATGGTGATATGGGAACGAGTCCTCTATATGTTTTTTCAGATGTCTTCAGCAAGGTTCCAATTGATTCAGAAATTGATATCCTGGGGGCATTATCTTTAGTGATGTACACAATAACAATTATACCCTTGGCAAAGTATGTTTTTATAGTCCTCAAGGCAAATGATAATGGAGAAGGTAGTGGCTTTGCAATCTCATTTATAAGTTTTTACTATGACCCATTTATTTAAATTGTAAGTCTGATTTTTTGTGCATTTAATGGACTCAATTGTAGGAGGAACGTTTGCCCTGTACTCGCTGATTTGCAGGTATGCAAATGTGAGTCTTCTTCCAAATCGTCAGCAAGCTGATGAGTATATCTCTAGCTTTAAGCTTAAATTACCCACTCCAGAGCTGGCAAGGGCTTTGACCATAAAAGAAACTCTGGAAAGAAAGTCATCTCTGAAAACCCTTCTGTTACTTTTGGTTCTGATGGGGACTTCCATGATTATTGGAGATGGTATTCTCACTCCAGCAATATCAGGTACATAAACATGCTATTTTTATTGAGTGAAATTCTAGTGACAAGAACCAAGAGAAGTGGCAATAATATACCCTGCTGCTTAAAATCAAGTTAATTTTCAAAGACCATATATATCATTGGCACCGAACATCACAATGTACAAATTGGATAGCTCAGTGATTATTTCTTATCTGGTTAATATATTGATTAGCTAATAAAGTATGGAATGGAAGTCATTTGACAGTTAATGAAAAGGCTATGGAAATCTAGATAACCGATGAAAGACTGATATTTAAATCCATCATTTAATTAGCGTCAACAGTTTCAAGGAGTGGAGAGAAGTACCACCTAGTGTGTTTCCTATGGGATTAATGTTCCGCCATATACAGAAATAAGAAACCCTTCCAATTGAAAGCAATTGTTTAACGTTAATTTCCTGTTTAACATAAAGAGGACTAACTTCCTGGAACTACACTTCAGCATTCTGATGTTAAAATGCCATCCTGATTATCAAATTAATCAATTGCCTACGTAACAAACAAAATGCAAGTATTATTCAATAACCTGCCCCCTCAATTGAAATAACATTTTAATTGTATGTAGCCTGAATAGGATATATTAGGTGCTGTCATGGGGGTTTGCAGTAGTGATCCATCACAGTTTGGGGCTGGATTTTCTTATTTCATTGAATTAGTTTTTCATTTCTACTAGAACACCACTTTCATGAACTTCTTGTTATTTGTTTGAGATTTTCTGTTTTGTTTTTGAGTTGGTGTTTAAAAAAATTTGCTTGTGTTGCAACTAAAGTGGATTTTGATGCTTCTGTCACAGTGATGTCTGCCATAAGTGGTTTGCAAGGTCAAATTGAAGGATTCGATACAAGTGAGTACATTTTCTTTTTCTTTCTAAGAATTTTATTTTTTTCGTTTGGATAAAAACAAAAACCAAATGACAAAGAATGCAAGCAGAAATGAATAAAAACGAAGTCATGGAGCAAGAATTGTTCTAAAATTCCAAGTCACCCTTCCATGTTATGTGTTAATTGTAGAGGTGTTAATTGCATTATTGGATATGGAAGTTCTTATGATATACATTGTGGTCAGGGACTTGAAGCATCTTTATAGAAATAAACAGTGGCCTTGTGGTAAGAGATGGCTAAGAGATCTCCCTATTTAAGATAATGCAAGGAATGAAAGTCTCCCTATTTATAGAAACAAATCTAATTAGTTTTTCTTTTAATATACAACACCTTAACATCTTTTTCATGCTATGTAATGAAATCTTTCCCATGATTTCCTGTGCATTGCATAGGGGAGAGTGCAAGTTATATACATCTCTAGATTGAAAGTCTCTTGATGTCAAATCTTTGTCAGATCTCTCAACCATTGAGTTTGGCATGCTTTGACCTGAGTAGGTCAAAGATGGTTCTGCCTTAAAACACCCAGTTAAACATATTTTGTCTAATTGCCTTTTTAAGAAAGAGGAATCAGATTTTTGTTGCTTAATGCAATTCATGTACTCAACCTCACTGTGCAGGATAAGGCTGCTTCTTGTTTTAATCAAATTTTTGCTGCTTGTTAGATCGACTTGTTTATTTTTAACAACTGAGGTTTTGGTTTCCTCAAGATTGCTGTCTTGTGGTGTGGAACAACAGGCAGCATGCAGTGCTTGCATTTCAACAACAAACTTAATTTTTTTATTCCCTGTTTATTACTTGCAGAGGGAGTGGTTATTATTTCAATTGTAGTCCTTGTGGCTTTGTTCAGCATACAACAGTTTGGTACTGGTAAAGTGGGTTTCATGTTTGCTCCTGTGCTTGCCTTATGGTTCTCTTCTCTGGCTTTGATTGGAATATACAATATACTTAAGCATGACATCAGTGTTCTGAGAGCCTTCAATCCTGCTTATATCTATTATTTCTTCAAGAAGAACACCAAAACTGCATGGTCCTCGCTTGGGGGCTGTGTTTTGTGTATTACAGGTACATCTTTCTCTTGGTTGATTGGCTCTGCTGTTTAGGTTTTATCTTCTTTAGTTCATAATTATGGCCACTGCTTCACTCATCTCCCTAGTATAATCACTTTATGTCCTTATTTTAAATTTGTATTTTTATTTCCTTAAAGTGAGCCAGGAGACGAGATGATCATATATTTAGGCAGTTAATTTTAAAAGCTACTAGGATAAGCAATGGTATAGAAGACACGAGACAGACTGGTCTTTCCTCTCACCCTTTCACTTATACAACGTCTCCGAAATTTTGGCCAAAGAATAAACTTCTCAGTAATAATAGTTGCTAGTTTGACTTAATCTGCATCACATCACATTGCCTCCATGACAAAGAAATGGAGATTTTCTTTCTTTCAAGACTGATATACTTGGGATTGAGTTTGATGACAACATGATTCTTGCTACATGCTTTGTTATGTTGTTCAAACCAGATTTGCTTGGATATAATACAAAATGTGAATGGTCTGGAAGTTATTTTAACACACTTGAGATTAATTGATCATGCTTTTCCTTTGAAATGAGAACATTTGTGATATTTTGAAGGGAAAATGACAATAAAATCTCCCTGAATTATATAAATGACAATATGATCTCTCGAAATGCCATAATTTCACTAAAGTCCTAAAGGACTTCTATGTCAACAAAATTTTAAGGTGAAAAGACCATTTTACCCTTATTGAAAATAACAACCCTTAATTACAACTTTTATTTAAGAATAACAACTTTTTATTCTGTGAATCACAAGAGTTAAATAAGAAATCACAACTTATCAAATATAATTTACGTTATTGAAAAATAAATTCTCAAAATAATAAGCCCGAATGACAACTTTTGATTAAAGAATGACAACTTTTATTGAAAGAATCGCAAGAATTGGACAAAAATTACAACTTATCAATAAGGGTAAAATAGTTTTTTTAATTTAAAATTTATTGACACAGAGATCCCTAGGGACTTTAGTAAAATTATGGCATTTTGATAAAGAATATTGTTATTTATATAATTCAAAGGGATTTTATTGCCATTTTCCCTATTTTGAAATAGCCCTTTCACCGGGGGGCTAAAAGGGAACAAGTAGCTTGTATCAACCTCAAATTTTCTTTTGCAGGTGCTGAAGCAATGTTTGCTGATCTGGGTCACTTTTCTGTAAAATCAATACAGGTTTGTGAATCCTCAATTTCTTTCTTGAAGATTTGACCCATAAGATTAGTTTGCTGTAGCAATCATTGTATGATTAATTGGAAGTCTCATTTAATTGCTCATACAGATTGCCTTTTCTTTTGTGGTATTTCCCTGTCTCCTCCTTGCTTATATGGGCCAAGCTGCTTATCTGATAAAGCACCCTTATTCTCATTCAAGAATATTCTATGAATCTGTTCCAGGTGAAGTCTGCTGACATACGCTAGTACATATGAGCGTTATCCTTCAAATTATAATTAAGAGGTATATAATCTACTTTAATCATTTTGGTACCTGCTGCTTCTTCTTGGTGTAATGCAGAGAGTTTGTTCTGGCCAGTGTTTGTGATAGCCACACTTGCTGCTATGATTGCTAGCCAGGCTATGATATCTGCTACATTTTCATGTGTAAAGCAATCCATGGCGTTGGGCTGCTTTCCAAGGCTCAAGATTGTTCACACCTCAAGGAGGTTTATGGGTCAAATATACATCCCCATAATCAACTATTTTTTGTTGATCATGTGCATGTTAGTTGTTTCCATCTTCCAGAGCACTACAAGTATTGCAAATGCATATGGTAAAGTATCCCCCCTCTCAGTCTTCTCGGAGTGTTTTTTTCTCTTTTCTAGTTCAAGAGTGACCCTGTAATGAATTCTAGAAGTACTTTGTAGAATAATATACTAACTAAAACATCGTATTCTATCTATGTCTGAAGTTGGTAATGATGGCAATTTGATGTGTTAAAATTATATAATTACTTTGACATTGTTATGTGAATAGAACTTTTTCATTGCAGGCCAAAACCAAATGACGTGGGTGCTTTTTAGTACAGTAGGAGAAAATGCAGCAATATGATAGAATCACGCTGTTGATTCCCTTTGTGTAATAACATTTGAGGATTGTTCCTGAATATTTTTGTTTATTCAGTATTTTCTGATACCGATTATAATAAAGCACATGGCCCCACTATGCATTAACTTGAAATCACTTTTTTTTCTTGATTTTTAGATGAAAATAATTTTATTGAATTCCATTTCTTAACTCAAATGCATATTCTATGTTCAAATAAATGCTTTTTACTTGCAAACTTAGCTTGAAGGGACAAAATCAGGTTGCTCAACATGCAACTTACATGGCTAATAGCCCTCATTCTTGACATGATATTTAATGTATCTACTCGTTCAATTTATATGATTGTTGCAGGCATTGCTGAAGTAGGTGTCATGATGGTTAGCACCACCTTGGTGAGTCTTGTGATGCTTCTGATCTGGCAGACCAACTTGTTCCTAGTTTTTGGTTTCCTATTCGTATTCGGATCAGTAGAGCTGGTTTATTTGTCTTCTGTCTTATCAAAAATCACAGAGGGTGGCTGGCTTCCACTTGCTTTTGCTTGTTTTTTCCTCTCTATAATGTACACGTGGAACTATGGAAGTGTTCTGAAATACCAAAGTGAAGTCAGGGAGAAGATTTCCATGGACCTTATGCATGATCTTGGCTCCAATCTTGGAACTGTAAGAGTACCAGGAATCGGATTGTTATACAATGAACTTGTCCGCGGCATTCCCTCCGTTTTTGCCCAGTTCCTCTTGAACCTCCCTGCTGTTCACTCCACTATAGTTTTTGTTTGCATTAAATATGTTCCAGTCCCAGTTGTTCCTCTGGAGGAAAGATTCCTGTTTCGAAGAGTCGGTCCAAAAGATTACCACATGTTTCGCTGTGTTGCCAGGTATGGCTACAAAGATGTACGGAAGGAAGATCATCATGCATTCGAGCAGCTTCTCATCGAAAGCCTGGAGAAATTCTTGAGAAAGGAGGCTCATGATAGTTCCTGGGAGATCAACAAGAATGATGACATGGATAGTGTATCAGTGATATCAAAGGACTCTGACTTTCCCGCTGGCAATGTATCTGAGGACCTTAAGATTCCACTGATGCAGGATCAAAAACCAGAAGAACCAGGAGCTTCTACTTCTCAGCAAGCTTCGACCTTGCTGCCAGCTAGCGTCATGTCATCAGACGAAGACCCTAGTCTTGAATATGAGCTTGCTGCTCTCAGGGAAGCAACAGATTCAGGATTCACCTACTTGCTTGGACATGCGGATGTGAGGGCAAGGAAGAACTCCATTTTCGTCAAGAAGCTTGTGATCAATTATTTCTACGCATTTCTGAGGAATAACTGCAGAGGAGGTACAGCAAACATGAGAGTGCCTCACACCAACATTGTTCAAGTGGGGATGACTTACATGGTCTGACTCACTCACGTTCTTGTGTCTGACGTCTGCAGTGAAACTCATTCTGGAAATATTGGCATTATTATTTGGCCCTATTCTTTGCTCTTAGCCAATGATGGATATTTGGCTCCCTCTTGTAAATTATCTCTAGAAGGCTAAAAACCCCCAGATTGTATTGCCTATTATACTAGTATTGAACGAATTGGGTTGTTTCATATTTTTCTCTTAATTCCAGATTATTGTGTACTTGTTTTATGTATGTATGTATGTTCACTCTTTGTGATCCTAGCAACTTTTTTCTACATTCCTATTATCCTAAAATCAGAAGACAGCTGATTTTACTTGCTTTACCACGAGACCAGACACTTAAAATGACAGCATCTCAGCGTATCAAACGAAAGATATGAGATGAGTTAGCCTGTTTAACCTATGTAAAAAAAGAAGGAAAAAAAGAAAGGAAAAAAAACAGAAAGCAAGAGTAAAATATACATTGCTTTTTCTTCAATTTTGGTAAAATTACAAAAAACTTCCAATATTTTTAAAATCAATAATTTATTCTAATTTTTAATAGAGAAAATGACAATAAAATTTTTTTGAAATATATAAATCCCTCTAAAATATATAAATGATAATTTGATCCTTTGAAATATCATAATTTTCCTAAAGTTCCTAAAGACTTTTCCGTCATTAATAAATTTATATAAATTATCAAATTACCCTTGTTGAAAATAAATTATTCACAAGTTTTGTTTAAATATTCACAACTTTTCTTCTTATATTCACAACAATACAACAACAAATCACAACTCGTATGTTAAATTTTTTATTTGCTATTGCATTGTTGCGAATATAAGAAGAAAATTTATGAATATTTAAACAAAACTTGTAAATTATTTATTTTAAATAAGGATAATTTGGTAATTTATATAACTTCATTAATGACAGAAAAGTCTTTAGAGATTTCAGAAAAATTATGGCATTTCAATGGATCAAATTATCATTTATATATTTTGGAGAGATTTTATTATCATTTTTCCTTTTTAATACAATTAAGAGTATTTCACTAAAGATTCTAAAATGCTTCTTTTATTAATCCAGTTTATATTTTAAAAAATTATAATTATTAATGAATCCCCATAATCTTATTGTTTAATCTCTCTTTGATTTGAACAATTTCAAATAGTTTTGTATGGTACTTTTTCTGTTCCAAATTATAAAAAAATTTTAGAGGAATTTTATTGTCCTAAAATATAAAATAATTTGAAAAAAAATGTTTCATTAATGATATTTCTCTAGTATTATCACACAAGTTAAAGCAAAATTGAAATGATATTATAGGGTAATGATTAAATATATAAAAATACTTTTGAAAGTTTATCGTTTTATTTTGAAAAATTAAATTTATAAATATCATCATTGAGTTCTATTGGTTTGCGTAATCTTATCTTAAATTATCTTATAATTTTAAATGGAGAGGTAATATTTAAATAAATGTCTTTACAATAGTAAATTAAAATTAATAACCTTTATAATAATTTTTTTAAAAAATGACTTGCAAATATTGCTAAATAAACATTTTTAGTAAGATTTCATCAAAAAAAATATTTACATTAAGAAAGGATATTTTAGAAAAAAAAACACTAAATTTGGTTAGTTAGCACTAAGGAACAAATTAACAGTTGGATATAAAAGAAAATAAAATTTTTAAAATAGAAGAAAAGTTTGTGTAATATAACTTTTGATTTTTTACATATTAAAATAAAGGATCTTTGCAATTATAATAGAATATAGGAAGATTAATAAAGAGATCTCAAAAGAATCAATTAATTTAAGTTAAGTCTCAAATGTTAAATTTCAAAAATTTACAACTTAATTTCTTAATTTTGCAACTGCATTGTCATAAATTTATAACTTATTTTTTAAATTTTAACATAATTAAAAAATAAAAAAATTATTTTTCTATTAAAAGTTGAAATACAAGTTAAAAATTCATCAAAACAGAATTTTAAAATTAAAAGATTGAGTTGTAAATTTTTAAAATTTAACACTTGAGTTGCAAATTTTAATATGGTTGAAAAATAAAAAAATTTATTTTTTCTATTAAAAGTTAGAATACAAGTTGTAAATTACTCACAATGGAGTTTCAAAATTAAAAAATTAAGTTATAAATTTTTAAAATTTAATATTAGAAATTTAAATTAAATTAATTAATTTTTTTAAAATCTCTTTATTATCCTTCTTAAAATATAAGGAGGATGAGGCTATTATTGGGTGGGTTGTCTCCAACACCTTCATAGACACAATAGGATATGATAGGTGGATATTTATATTTTTAAAAAAATTGCAGTTAGGTCTTAAAATAATAAATAAATACTAAGTCCTTAATAAATTTTTTTTATAAAATAAATTATAAATATCAATTCAAACAGTTACAAACAAAAGTTTTTATTATAATTTAAAAGTTATATTTAATATTTAAATACTTATTTATAATTGAAACTCTTAAATTTATAATAATTTGAATTGATATTAACTTACTTTCAAAAAAAATTATTAAAAATTTAACCAATATTAATTCACTGTTTTTGAACCGAACTGTCATGATCCCTTTATATTTTTTACGATATGATACGTTAAATACACACATATATATTTAACGCACTAGAAATTTCAATTCAAAACAATGTCCAAATTAATATATTGATTAACACTAACCAGATCATATTGATGAGAATTGTTAAGCAATTTTGAGCCACGATGGCTGTCTCACTGTCTTCGAACCTAATGTGTTTAAGATAAATTACATTGATGATGATTGTTAGTACTTTTTTTATTTTAAATTATAGGATATTTTTAAAAGAATTTTTTCATTTCAAAAAATAAGATACTTTAAGATTTTACTAAATACATTAATTTTAATATTATTTTTTTTCTTTTTATGATTAATTTTTATTCCTTCTCCTCTTAATATATTAAATGATGAGTATTTTTAAAAATTTATATTTTTTAAAGAAATATAAAATTGTTAAGTGTATTTAATGAAATTTATTGATATATAAAATTTTATGTAAAAGTGTCTCATAATTTAAAATATAAAAAAAATATTTAATTATTAATTATTTGATTGATTAATTAATAATTGATAAATTGACAATGGAGCAGGACAAATTCATGCCATCCAAAAGAACATTTCTCTGGTCACTGTTTGTCTTCAAAGAAAGACAAGCTGAGGGAGCGAGGGTTTTTTATCTTACACTGAGTGGTCATAGACCGAACAAGAAGAAGAAGAAGAAGGCGACGAGCAATGGCTATGGCAAGCGTGGCCAGACGGAAGGCTTATCTTTTGTCGAGGAATTTCTCCCCGGAGACTCTCAGGTACTCCCTGTCTCTTGCTTCTTTCTCCAGGGGATTCGCTTCAGGATCTGACGAAAACGACGTCGTCGTTATTGGTGGAGGCCCCGGCGGCTACGTCGCCGCCATTAAAGCTGCTCAGCTTGGTCTCAAGACCACTTGCATCGAGAAGCGTGGCACCCTTGGTGGCACCTGCCTCAACGTTGGCTGCATCCCGTCCAAGGTAATCTATTCCTTTTTTTAATAAATAAATGTTCATCTGTATCTGAATTTCCTTGTCATCTGTCATACGGTTCAACTTGATTGGAGTACTCTGTCTAGTTTCTTTGAATTGAATTTTCCCTTTCTCCCCCCCCTGTTGGACCAGTGCAAATGTTATTGAATCTGTCGGCTCTCCGGTTTACTTCTAGATATTAGATTTTTTTTTTTTTACAAAGAATTTTAAGGAATAGAGAAGTCTTTTGTTGTACAAATAGCTTAATTGGAGTTCCTAGAGTATTAGTAATTTCAGTCCTGAATTATGGAAAGATAAAGTTATTAATATGGAGTTCCTTGACTTTTGATCCGGGTTATATATATCATACCCCTTGTTGCCACAATACGTTGAGTACTTAAGCCGCTTACCTGCTAACTTCAGAATCTGAGTGGCAACTATTTTGATACTTGTACTTTACATGATTTGCCATACCAATCCATAGACTTGTATTAAAGTCTCAGCGAAATATTTCATTTCATGCTGTAAAATTGTATCTAGTAACTTTTTTCTTCTTTTCATGAACTGTAAACAGAGTTAGACGTTTGAAAATAAATGGTGGATAAAGTCTTATCTTTAGATAAAATATACTCATCTATCGGTGTTTATTATGGTTTGGTTCAGGCACTGCTGCATTCTTCCCATATGTACCACGAGGCCAAACATTCATTTGCCAGCCATGGAGTGAAACTTTCATCTGTTGAGGTAGATTTGCCAGCCATGATGGCCCAGAAAAATAAAGCTGTGTCTAATCTTACTCGTGGTATTGAAGGTTTATTCAAGAAAAACAAGGTAAACTATGTCAAAGGATATGGCAAATTTACTTCCCCATCTGAAGTCTCTGTGGACACCATTGATGGTGGGAATACTGTCGTACAAGGCAAGAATATTATAATTGCAACTGGTTCTGATGTGAAATCTCTACGTGGTGTTCCTATTGATGAAAAGAAAATTGTATCATCAACGGGCGCTCTCTCTTTGTCGGAAATCCCCAAGACACTTGTGGTCATCGGGGCTGGCTATATTGGGCTGGAAATGGGATCAGTGTGGGGCCGACTTGGCTCTGAGGTAACTGTTGTTGAGTTTGCCCCTGATATTGTTCCAACCATGGATGCCGAAGTTCGAAAGCAGTTTCAGCGTTCTCTTGAGAAACAAGGAATGAAATTCAAGCTGAAAACTAAGGTGGTAGGAGTGGATGCTTCTGGGGATGGTGTGAAGCTGACAATTGAACCGGCTGAAGGAGGTGACAAAAGCACTCTAGAAGCAGACGTAGTTCTTGTATCTGCTGGTAGGACTCCATTCACAGCTGGACTTGGGTTGGACAAGATAGGAGTTGAAACCGACAAGGCAGGACGGATTTTAGTGAATGAAAGATTTATGACAAATGTGTCTGGAGTTTATGCAATTGGAGATGTAATTCCAGGTCCAATGTTGGCACATAAAGCAGAAGAGGATGGGGTAGCCTGTGTAGAGTACATTGCTGGTAAGGTTGGCCACGTTGACTATGACAAGGTCCCGGGGGTTGTTTATACACACCCTGAGGTTGCATACGTCGGGAAAACTGAAGAGCAGGTGAAGGCACTCGGCGTCAAATATTCCGTTGGGAAGTTCCCTTTCATGGCTAATAGTAGGGCTAAGGCAATCGATGATGCCGAAGGACTGGTAAAGATATTGGCTGAAAAGGAGACAGACAAGATTTTGGGGGTACATATTATGGCACCCAACGCAGGAGAGCTCATTCACGAAGCAGCCGTAGCCTTGCAATATGGTGCATCAAGTGAGGACATAGCACGTGTTTGTCATGCGCACCCGACAATGAGCGAGGCCGTGAAAGAAGCTGCAATGGCCACTTTTGACAAGCCAATTCACATTTGATTCTATTTTGCCCATCAATTTTTACCTAGCGTTCCAAGAAGATTCAGGTGTTTAAATCCTGATTGGCCCTTCATTTACGTATATTCGTCATAATTTACTGATATGCATAATAACGTGAATAACTGTGTGGCTTTTATTCTCTTGATACAAATATTTTTCTTACTGCCTGGATACGGAAGCTTGACTTGAGGGTGGCTTAACCAAGATTAACCTGAATCTGGAATCTAAGAAATTGGGTGGCAAAGCCAAAAAATTTCTTTGCCATGGCTGGTCAGGAGATGATGATTGTGCAAGTTAGGGAGCATCGAGCTTGAAAAGCGATATCGGAGGGGAAGAGAAATGGAAGTTTCATTTAAAAAATAAAAAACCATCTAATTTTTGTTATTTTATTTCTATACACAAAGAGTGTAAGCAAACTTCATACTATTTACACAAGGAATGAGGGCTTTTATCGTTCATCAGTCTCGGTTATGCCACTTTAAATTAGAATTTAAAAGTTTTATATTCGGTTTTCTATTATTTCTTTTCGAAAGCACAGGCAGGACTTTTCATCTTTAGGGGAAAAAATAAATTAAATATTTTTGAAGAAAATTTGATATTCCCTGCAAAATTTATGAATGCGTTTAAATTTAATGTGGGAAGTTTACCAAGGATTGCTTTCATCATTTCTTTTTGTTCCAAAATTTTACTAGTTAAATGTATGAGGATATGTGCTTATACAGGATTAAAGCAATAGATGGAGATTTTTGCTCCTCTTAAAAATAATTTAAGGAAAAAAGATGTTTCACCTACTAATATAAATATTCAATGCTCCTTGAAGGAGAAAAATTAAAGTATTGAAAATCATATTAATCATTGAACCGATTGAGATAGTGATATAAGGGTTAATGGTCTAATCAAGGATTAATTTGAAATCAAATTGATCACAATTAAAATAATATAATCTACTTAAATATATAAAAATATTCATATGAAAAACAGTAATATTTAAATAAAAGTCTTTAATTCTTGAGTAAATAAAAAATTTATCTATAAAATTTTATGCATGTCTTCTAGAAATAATAATTATAAGTTTTTGAAAATAATAAAATACAATAACATTAAAATTATTAATTAAGAAATTTATATTTGATTTAGGGTTCAATATTCAAAAAAAAAACAAAGAAAAAAAATAATAATAAAATCTGACCCCGCTCATCCTATTAACCCACTGGGTTAGTCAAGTTTGTCTGGATTGAAGCCAGGTCATGTGATCGGTTCCCTTAATCAATCGGATCAATTAGATGATCAGTTCACTAGTTAATTGGTCAACCCGATTGGGTCGGTTTGGGTTTACAAATAATGAGAAAAATGCATTTTAACTCATTTATATATGCTCAATTTTACATAATACTACAGGATATAAATTTTTAAAAGTTAATACATGCATGTATTACTTGTACATATATTTCTTTTAAAAATTGGCCACGATTAATTTCTATATTTTCACTTGATAATGTTTTTCCTTTCAAAATATTTTGAATTATTATTTATTAGATTATTATGTTTTTCATACACACGTACTTAGATCAATAAATCCATTTATTCCTAGAGGATTATAATATTAAGATATAAAAATTAATCATTTATTTAATATAATTAATTCAATTACAACCCAATTCTTCAAATTCAATCAGTTAATTCGTTGGTCCAAAAAACCAGTCAATTCACTCATCCTTTTCAGAAAAATATCTAATCTATTACTCATTAGGAATCAAATTGTAACCAAGTCATAAAACATAGAAATCAACAGATTGAATTATCAAAACTAGAGATTAAGTTCAGAGCTAAACTGTAATCAAATCAAAACTAAATAGATTAAATAATTAATTATCCTAATCAGGATTCTATATTATATACTTGCTTTTTTTTTTAAATAAGAATATACTTGCTCATTTTAAAAAGCTGAAACGAGGCATTTGTCTATCTTCAACCCTATGCAACTCCATAAGCCTATACACGCATTTGAACTCCGGATTCCAAAATAAAAACACAAAGACGTATATTTTTAGTTTTGGCCCAAAGGAAAGGACGTATACAAGATCACGTCAACACGGATGTAATACCTTGTCAATTGTAGCTACAAATAAATATACACGAAATTGTCAACAATTGAGAAGGGGCAAATAAACATTTGTAGCTTTCCTTCCAAATATCCAAATCATGAAAACACGTCATCTGAGAACATTGTGACCTCATCAAATGCACATAATCCCCATCAAACCGAACAAAGATCTATTTCATCCTGAATGAATTTTCTATAGTGATTTCATTAGAAGTGAGGAAACAGATCAACACACAATAGAAGATCCCACTTCTAATGCGTGGGTCCCGTTACTATTTTAATTCAATGCCTCTCCTTGCTTCAAGTGAACTCACTCTGGAGCATCTCTTTCGCTATTTCATCATACAAAACCAGGACCAGGACTAACCATGGGACCATAGCTCGCCCCCTGAACATCAACTTCCATCCATAATCCCTAAGAGTTGCAACTCCAGACATGCTTCAATCATCTGGGTCTTCTCGCATATCCGGCCGCCTCCTCGATTGCAATGCCAGGCGTGCATCTCTCTCTCGTTCAAACTCACGGTAATCTGCTCGCTGCAAGAAGGAAACCCTATCCAGATACTGGTTTGAACTCTTCTTGTAAGCATCAAGCTCGTCTTCCAGTCCCTTATTTTCTTCCTTAAATTCTCCCCAGTCCATTTTGGTCTTGTCTAGTACACTGAGCTTCTGTTTCTTCTTAATTTGTTCAAGCACAACATCCACAGCAGAAGGTGCAGGAGCTTTGGTTCTTTCTATCGCCTCCTTTGAATCAGCATCAACAAGCTTTTTAACTTCAATTTCTTTACCAGCAAAATCCCGAACCTCCGTAATCTAATCCAAGAAAACAGTTAAAACCATGAATTTATACGCAAATGACTTGCTTATAGATGTCATGCATGGCAGTAAATGACATCGACTGCCTTAAAATTCAAAGCATTTCAATGAAAACATACCTCCAAACTAATGCCAGATTAAACAATAGATGGATTCCTTATTCCAATAGAAGAACTTCCAGTATAAAAAAAAAAATGCAATAGAAGAATTCCTTATTCCAACTACCAAGAAAGATATTGGACCCCAATTGCACAAACTGAGTGATCTATGTCAAACACTTCCTAATACAATTTAGGTAGTCCGCACTGACTTTGAAAATAGAGTAAAAATCTAGCCTTACCACATACACATCCTCTGTTTCTTTTTCTTTTTTGGATGAACAATATTGCAACGACATCTCACTATAGCCACATTAATACATGTTGATACCAATAAGTACTAACTGTAGACCACCAAAAAAACACAGGCGACCTTAAGGAATGCTTACTGCAATTTTCCCTCTGCCTGATGCAGCAGCGGCAGCATCATCTTTAACTGCTGCCAGAGCAGCAGCAGCAATTTTCTTGGCTTCATCATTTGTATTTTCCTCAATAGGGATAGTTCTCTTCTGGGATGCATCTTGCCCAAGGGATTCAGCTGCCTTTGGTGACATGCCCAAATAAGACATCCAATTCTATGACCAAAAGCATTAAGTGAACAGAAATCAAACTCCTAGGCAAAAAATAAAAAGAAAAAAAGAAAAAAAAAAGCACAAATCAAGCTCAAGCTAATATCCAAGGAAATAGGTTCTTTCAGAAACACCTAGCCACCTACAAATCAGAGCCTTCGGGGGGATTTAGTGCCAAAAAGAAGAGCTTACAGTAGATGTCTTCTTCGTAGTTTTCCTGGCAGTGGAATTATGCTTGCTTACAATGCTTCTGAGAATCTTGCTAGATACTCCTTTGTTCATGTCTTGCCACATGGCATCAACTTGGGCCTTCATTTCTAGCAAGACAAAGAGCATAATAACAAGTTTATTCACAACCATAAATGTCAATTCCTCAATGAAGTAGGCATTACAGAAGAGCAGCAGCACATTGATTGAACATGAAAGTTGAAGATCAAATGTCACAAATTCTCACCAGAGTCTTCTTGTTTTCCCTCCAATACTGACCCAGGAACAACTTCATTGACAGAATCAGAAGAAATAACATCCTTCCCGTTGACATTATCTGAAAAATGAAATCTAAATTATTATCTGAAGCAATTCTAGCTTATATTCCTTTTTTTCGTTATATGACATAACAAAGGTTTGAACCTAAGACTCTATACTGATCACAATCCTCATTAGACTATACATAGTATCTTCTGATTCTAGCTTAGAATAATCTTGAATAAGGAAGAGAATAAAACCATCTGTTTAAACCGGTGAAAGCATCTGGAAAGCGTAACCCTTACCTAGGAATGCTTCTTAAGCCAGTTAATCACAGATTTTGACTGAAGAACTTGCTTAGAATACTTACATTGACACCATTCAGATTTTTGCCATGTAGGGGACTCAAGAAATCAGCATATCCAGCCAAGTACACCTCTATGAAGTAACTAAATGTCTATGATGATAATGCCACCGGCCAAAACCCATCATCATAAATCATAAATAAAAATAAACAAATTCTGATAACATCGTATTTCCTTTCATTTACCAGCTAAACACATTCTAAACAGACTACAACAGGATCAAAAAGCTATGCCGGACGCCTGAACGGAGAATGCAGAACTCACCGTTACGCATGATATGATTGATGTTTCTGGATCTCGCGATCTCACGAAAACAAACAAATCAGGAATTGAGATAATTTACACGAATCTTTTCTCTACAAATATCACTTTTAACGCATCCGATACACGGCCTCCGGTGGGAATGCGCAGCGCGACGAGATGACGATAACCTGTAAATCTGCAAACCCTAAACAATAACGAGTTCGAGGTAGAAGACGATGCGAGGAATTAGCCCAATGCTGTTACTCCGAAACGCACCGTTGCACTAATGCATTTTATTTATTTATATATAATTTAATAAGGGGCCAAAATTTTAAAAAAAAAAAAAAACGCAAACAAACGAACAAGAGATGACGATAATTTGTTTCAGGCCACGTTTTTAAAATATGGCCCAAGAATAACAAGTGGCACATTTTAAAATCATTTGTTAAGTGAAAATGGAAACTCAATGGCCCAAAACGATATCAAAATCCAATAAAGTTTTTTACCAAAAAAGAAGATCAATGGCCCAAAAGAAAAATAGCCTCAGCTTTGTACATAAAATAAAAAAAAACAAAAAAGTAAATTGATAATTTACTCTCTCTATCAATCCATTAAAAAAATGTTTATACTTATATGAAATTTATCAAAAAATATTAATATGTTGAACATTAAATAGAGGGAGAATGTAACGACGGAAGGATAATATTAAAATAGGTATAATTAATAAGAACATTATTTTTATTAAAATATCTTATATTTAGGACTATCAAATCACTTTTAAAATGTATTATAAACTGAAATAGAGGAAATATATCTAAATAGATTCATGAAATATCTTTATTTTTTATGGAATCATGTTCCATGCTCAAAGTGTTTATCATTAATTTTTTTTAATTAAAAAGGGCAAGCAAAGCTTGAAAAAAGTATTAGTCAACCATGGGAATTAAACTCCTCTCCTGCGTATAAACAGAGACGCATTCAGGAGTAACATAATTAAAACAAGAAATGAAAGGAGTACTTGAATGAGCACTTTTGGCTATACAGTCAGCACAAATAATGCCTTCCCTGTGAGAATACTTGAGCACGAGATCAGGTAGCTTTGTCATGTCATAACGAATATCTTGAATGGTGATCCACAGAGGGTGATCAAGATTGCCATCTCTAAAGATCAAGTTAAGCGCTTCTAATGAGTCAATGAACACACAGACGGAGGACAAATGATTTCGCCGGCACACTTTCATTCCAGCATGTATGGCTAAGAGTTCCGCTTCAGTACTGGAGACAAAGCCCAATTTTTGTTTGAAGCCTAGGATCCACGAGCCTTCAGAATTTCTGATTATGCCTCCACATGCTCCAAGATGATTTGGTTTAACAGAGGCATCTACGTCCAAGCGAAGTTGATTAAATGGCGGTAGATACCATTGAGTGTCCAAACGACTGCTGATTTGCAAAATTTGCTATTTGAATTTGTTCACATGGTGATCTTCCAACAGCATGTCGCGACATAAGCTCTTTCAAGTTGCATGGATTGATGTGAGAGTTTTCAAACACAGCTTTGCAACATGAAGTCCACAGAATCCAACAGACGGAGCTGAACACCTTACACTAGGGCCAATGAAAGAAAACATTTGCAACACTTCTGCTCTTTAAATTGTTGCTGATCCAATCTTGCAAATCATGACTAAAGGAAATAGCATCTAGGTTAGTAATAAAAATGGCTTTCCACACCTCATGGGCAATTTTGAGATATGTAAAGTGTTTTCCTCTCTCTCACACTGAAAAGGACAGGAACTATCCGAAGTTAGAGTTCTTTGAGCTCTTAGGGAGTTATGAGGAAGCCTATCATGGAAAACTTGCCATAGGAAAATTTTGATACAGGGCATTTTCAGATTTTACTCCAGGTATGAGATTCATGGGTCTGGATGGTGCTTTTGATGTGGTAATATACAGCTTTAACCAAAAAAGAAACATCAAAAGCATTAAATCAGACATAAACATCTTCCACTGTTGGGTTATTCACTCTTGGTGGATCAGGCCCATATAAAAGCCCAAATTAAAAAATGAGACTTTTGTCACAATTATGAAAAATGTTTGGGTTTCATGTGCAATTTACTCAGGGCCTCAAATGTAATATTCTTCAACCTTTGAATTTGAGTCATGAACGGTTAAGAAGAAACTGCCGTATGTTCCCATAAGAGATGGTTATGGATGCAGTTCTCGACAATTTTTTGTTTTCTACATGAAAGAAAGAATCGAATGCTTTCATTTTCCTAGCTACTCATTCTCTCAGTGTGTGTATTTACTATGTGTATCCGAATGAAATGCGACTGGTGTAACTTTATTCCCGCATACGAACGTGTAAATCAACGACTCAAGGTGTGTTTTCCTCCTCAGATTCTTACATTGGTATCAGAGCTTTTGTCTTTCCTAGGCTGTGTTTCCTATGTCTGAAGAACCTATAATAATTTGCTTAACTACATACATGCAAATCTATAAGTTCAGTTTTTTATTTTCTTACTATGTTTATGCATGAATCTGTCTCTATCTGTCTTTAAGATTATTACTACTAAAATGAACATGCTTATATGCTTCTTAGTTAATATGAGTGTTCCATATGTGACTATACACGTTTTGCATCCAATCAACAGTGACGAATATAATGACCAAAAACAAACCAAATAATGGGTATTTGAAAAATAAGTTTTTTGAGCAAAAGGATTGCATAAACGTGTAGAGCTCAAAAAATAAAGAAAACGACACCAAGAACACATAAAAACGGAGACCCAACGGAGGAGATATGGCCTCCAGAAGTTTTAGGTCCAACGGGCCCGACTCACCAGAGGAACCAAGTCAAGTTGACCCGGTTGGAGGAAGACAACGATAGAAAAGATGCTTCATTTCTATCCTCGTCAAAATGATGTGTCATTCCAAAAAAAAAATAGTAGCTTTTAGGCTCGTAGCCTAAAAGCTCTAAAAAAAAGTCTTGGGATTTCAAGCCAACCTAAAAAAAAAGTTTTTTTGTTTTGGGATTATGGATCTAGGAATTGGGTAAATAAACCCAACCCAATTTCAAAAAAAAATTATAAATAAAATAAATAAATAAAATATATATATTTAATTTGAATTTTTAAAAATAAAATATAAAATGGACACGTGGCGTGTGGGACCCACCGGGAGACTCTATTGGCATATAGTTGACCCTACCATGAAGCTCTCGACGCATGGAGAACAACGGTCCGACGAGTGTCATCAACGGAGCATGATAAGGCGGCGCGTGTTGTACACGCACCTCCTCGAAAGTGGAATTTTTTTTTTAAATTTCTTAATCCAGCATCATTCTTGGGGCGCGTGTGGGACTAAATTAGGACAAAATTTGTCTTAAAAAAATCCCTAAATTCAAGATCTTCATTTTAATATATAATTTACTTATTTTAGAGACAAAACAAGATTTTTTTTTTTGAGTTATCTAGTGCTTTTTATGAGTTAAAAAAATTTCTAAATTTTTTTTTCTTCTTTCTTATCTTTTTTAGGAAAATATGAAGCAAGAGACTTCTAGCAGCACTGATAATTCAAAAAATTATTCTGTTAGCATTGAATATTTGGATAAACCAGATTATGAGCCTATTAGTAAGGATTCTAATCCAAAACCCTTTGAAGAAGAAGAGGAGGAATATGAATCTCAAAGTAAGGATTCTAATTTTGATCCTAAAGAAAATTCTAACGTTGATCTTGAAAATGTGCCGAAAGGACCTAAAGAGATGCGCATGCTGTTGAGACCCAAACATGAATCATAGGGTGATGAGAATGTTCAAAATGAAAATGAAGATGTTGAACAATCTTTCACACCCTCAGTAATCATAAATATAGCAAAAAGAGAAGCTAAAAGAATAAAAAAATTGGATAAAATTTCTCTGATAGTGAGAGCATATTCAAGCTTCATAACAAAAGAGAAACAAGCCGTGGTTGTAGGAGAAATTTTCAAACAACTTAGGAAGGAGCTTGTGCAACATAACAAGCGAAACAAGTCATACTCTGAAAATCCTCTATGGAATAGAGCCATCAAGGGAATGAAAGTACAAAAAAAATTATAAAAACATAATTAAGAGTTGTCTTTTTTTTAGATTTATACCTTAAGCATTATTCTATTTTTCAAAAATTTGTTTTTAGGTAAGTTATGTTGTATTAAGACTTTGATGATTTATGAAATATATGAAGCATGTTGTTTTATATTTAATTGCTTTATATATACTTTATTTAAGTGAGAGCTCTAAAGTGATAAATCATTTAAGAGTCATATATAACGATTATGAAAATATTTATAAAATTCTTTATAAACGATAGTGATTTTATTAAAATCAATGTGATGAAAGATACAAACGTAGCCTCCTAATCATTGACCTAATAGAGTTATTATCACTCGAATAAAGAATAATACAAATATAAAACATTGAATGTTTCTCATAAGTATTTTATTCTTTGTTTAATATAGAAACCTATTTATGTGGGATAGTTTCATCTCAAAACTAAGAATGGCAACAAAAAGCATTATCGCTGAATTGAATAAGGGTAACAAATTAAACAGGGATAACTGGGATATCTAGCACTGTAAGGTGTCATATATTTTGAAAGAACAAGATGTTGTTAAACCATTGACTATGGTCATGGCCGAGCCTGAGGTAGGAAACTCGGCTCAACATAGGAGAGACCAAGAGGCATTTGAGGCATGGAAACGAAAAAATAGCATCGCACAAATAATACTTTTAAGTGCTATGGCAAATAATCTAATGTACGAATTTGAGAAGCACTTCACTGCCCAAGCCATGTGGGCTGCCTTAAAAGAAAAATTTAGTGGTACTTCAACCACCAAACTGAGAAAGCTTACAATTAAATTTGACACTTATAAACTAAAGCCAAATACTCTTATGCGGCAGCACCTCAGAGAGATGGCCAACATGATCCATGAACTTAAAGCAGCCGAGCATGATCTTTCTAATGAATAGCAAGTATAGGCTATAATCAGATCACTCCCAACCTAGCTGGGAGCAAATGAAAGTTAAACTAACCCATAATGAAAATATCATTAACTTTAACGATATGGCTAAGTATCTAAAGCTAGAGGCTAAATGTTTGGAGGCTTACAAGTCATTTGGACAGACTTACCTTGTCGAGGAAGGTGGTCCTTCAAATTCTAAGCCCAAGAGAGGCAAGAAGCAATAAAAGAAGGGTAATAAGAGTGGCTCTAAAGTAAAGAAGGACAAACAA